TCATGCCTGGAGCTGATCCGTGCTGGTCGATGAGGAAATACTACAACTTTGCGCTGTCGATCGCCGGATCGGCTTTTAACCGTGGACGAAGCGGAGTCCAGCCCGGAGTCATCACATGTCCTTCCGGACGCTCCTTCGTTGAAATCGCCAGCCGCGCCATTCTCAAGCCCGCGCCTCTGCTCACTCGAACCCTCCCGCCGTTCCTCACTCTAGCCGCCGGCCTCTGCTCACTGTAGGCCGCCGTGTGTGACGCTGTTTCGTTGTGAAAGCGAAACTACTTTGTTTGGCCTTCCAAAATGGACACAACTAGAATCAGTGGTTAAGTTGTATTTACAACACTGTTCCAGAACACTTCAACCCAAATATTCGAATGTGTGCAGCACATTTTATGGAGGACTGTTTCCTGGAAGAGTAGACTACAATGCCGGCTGTTCTGACTCAAAGACTGTAAGTACGTCTTTTATATTTAAAGAGTTTTTATATTTTATATATTTAAAGCGAGTTTTTTGGGCAGTGTAGAGTAGGGCTTGTTTTTTGTAATTTCTCCGATCATAAATGCAGACATGCAACGCAAAGCGTATAAAGACAGTATAAGTCATTATAATCAATAATTATGTCCCCACTGGATGCAACGAATGCCTCGTTTATAATGGGTTTTCATGTTTTTGTCTCATCGCTCCGGCCTGACAGGGCATCATCACAATTAGGGATGGAACGATTACTGGTTTCACGATAAATCACGATAAAATGCCCTGACGGTTAGTATTACCGTTTAAAATTTAATTATCATCAAAACCGTGTTTGATTATCGCGCTTTTGAAAACTCGCGGTAAATCCTGTCCAACCAGCATTAGTCTGACGCAGAAGCAGCAAGCAGTGTTGTTGTTGTTGTTTTTGCACGAGACGAAATGGCGGAAGGCAGTGACAGCGCTCGGGAGATTTTTCAGCCATCTAAGAGAACCAAATCGGTGGTCTGGTCGTATTTTGGCTTTTACAAGAGTCCTGAAGGCAATTTAAACTCCCTGTCTGCAGATCTTGCAAGAAGAAAGTCGCTGCAAAAGGGGGAAATGCATCAAATTTGCTCCGTCATCTTCGTGACCACCACCCACTGTTATAGCGAATGCAAGGTAACTTTTACCTCAATACCAAAACTAACTGGGCAAATAATTGGACAAAAAATATCGATTAGAGATTAAATATTTAGTTATCTCACTTGTTTAACGCAAAGCTTCCGCAAAGAAAAGTTCGCAGCAAGTGGCTTTGAGCCAAGACGAACGAACGTTCAAACTATAAGGTTGACATTTAAGGGATATTGTATATTCATAGTTAACTTATTATATGGATTTTTTTTTGTTTACCTAAAATAATATATAAATACGGAGATATGAAATATTGAATTGAGATTAATGTTTTGAAATCGTACCTGTTTATAAATCCATTATGAGCAGTGTACAAAACAATCATTAGGACAATATGATCACTACAGCAAAATTATAGTAGTATTAATGCTAAATTTTAATTTAAACCAGGTAACACTCTTTAAACACAGCATTTAAACACCCCATGAAATCAAAACTGGAGTTCTGGGGATTTTAGTCCATGTCTGTAAGCTTTGAGGGCATCTCTAAATGAGTGTACTTCTCAAAGTCAACAAAGTCACTTTGGATAAAAGCATATGAGAGTATTCCTTACCATGTCATTCTTATTTTCTAAGAAGATACTGAGTTTTTTGAGGAAGGACACCACCAGCACCAGGAGCTCCTCACTGTCTCTGTCCAGCGTTTTCACCAGAAGGTGGACAATGTTCTTGTTCCTCATCTTCAGCTCTGTGCGGGTGTCCTCAGACAGATTCAGCAGCAGGTACAGAGCAACTGATGCCATAGAAACACAAGCAGCAAAGTTATCAAGACATTTTCAAATCTGTATTTAAAGAAGATAATATTGAAAGCATTTTTGTTGTTGTTGTTGTTCAAACTGTATATACACTACCACTCAAAATTCTGGAGTCAGAAAGATTTAAAATACTTTAATTCAGCAAAGATGCATTAAATACATCAAAAGTGAGATTAAAGACAAGACAAAGACATAAGTTGTTTTTTTACAACAATACAAAATATTTCTAATAATTGCTGTTTTATCAAATAACCCACAAAAATTAGTTATCAGTTTCCAGAAAAATGTTAAACAGCACAACTATTTTCAGAATTGGCAATAATTAGAGCCCGCATTTCAGCCCGAGCCCGACATGGTCCGACTTATTTACGCCCTTAGGGCTAGGCTTCGGGCCAATTTTAACATCATAGCTCACACGCGGGCCAGACATTGGGCTTGTTTTAGGCTTCCCTTTCTTTTTATATTTTAGACATTCATCAATTAAGGTGATGGAAAAGATGTGCTGCAATGGTGGAATCAACCATGCTACTACCATGACTGTCAAGACTGGCTCTCACGGTGTTTAGTGTTAAAGCAGCATAGCAGCAAATGTGCCTTCAGCGCAGCTGGAAGAGTTACAGAAGAAAGGAGGACTGGATTAAAACTAAGGCTGTCCCCGACTAAAGATTTTTTGGACTTGTAACCCAAAGGTCATGGGTTTGAGTCTCGTTACAGGCAGGGGTAGTAAGTGGGGGTAGTGAATGACTAGCGCTCTATTCCAACCTCAATACCACGACTGAGGTGAGACCCTTGAGCAAGGCACCAAACCCCCAACTGCTCCGTGGGTGCCACAGCAAAAATGGCTGTCCACTGCTCCGGGTGTGTGTATGTGTGTGTGCGCGCACTTGGATGGGATAAATGCAGAGCACAAATTCCGAGTATGGGACACCATACTTGGCTACACGTCATGTCACTTTCCCTTTTACTGTTTCACATTATGATATGCTTGAAGTGTTTTATATCTATGGATTTTACTGTGGGCAAGTCAAGTGTTGATTTTAAGGCTAAATTGATCAAACTCACTTTAAAAAACAAAAACTTGTTTTTCTAAATTACCTTAATAAAAAAACAAAAACAAATATAACCACTTGCAATTAAAAACAGAACTATTTTAATGGCAATGTTTATGGGGAGAAGGAAAAAAAATAAACAGTCATGGGGCTCCAGTCGGACTCGGGCCGGGCTACGGCCTAAGCGTCTCTTTAATAATAAGAAGCACCAAATCAGCATATTAGAATGATTTCTGAAGGATTGTGTGCCACTGAAGACTGGAGTAATGGCTGCTAAAAATTCAGCTTTGCCATCTCAGGAATAAATGACATTTTAAAATGTATTCAAATAGAAAATAGTTATTTTAAACTGTAATAATATTTCCACAATATTACAGTTTTTCCCCCAAATTTTTTAATCAAATAAATGCATACTTAATGAGCATAAAAGACTTCTTACCGACCCCAAACTTTTGGACTACAGTGTATGTATTCTTTCTTTTCTAATGCACTTATATTTTATATAATAATATTTTAATGTCTGATTTAATTTGTGATTATTTAATCAAAAGAGCAGTGGCATTTCTGCACCAACAGAATTGTAAAATAATGATTATGTTCAAAATTATTTTCTGATCACTGCTCTTGTCTTCCATTAATTAGAAAATGACAAACATCATCTATAGAAAGACAACTGTTTTTTAATATTGTATAGAATCATATTTGGCGTCAGTATCAGCCTGTCTAGTCAAAACACTTCTTTAAGCTGTAAAATTAGACATTTCTTTGTGGGGAATAATGTGTTCTACCTCTCAAAAGCTGTTCCTGTTTGGTCAGCAGTCCATGGTACTTCTTCAGGGCTTTCTCATACTCCTTCTTCAGGTTCTGATTGTCTGGGTCATCGTCCCGTTTCAAAAAGTCAAGGACCTGGTCTATTAAACCCTTGTGTTCAGAGCAGTATTTATATAATAATATTTTAATGTCTGATTTAATTTGTGATTATTTAATCAAAAGAGCAGTGGCATTTCTGCACCAACAGAATTGTAAAATAATGATTATGTTCAAAATTATTTTCTGATCACTGCTCTTGTCTTCCATTAATTAGAAAATGACAAACATCATCTATAGAAAGACAACTGTTTTTTAATATTGTATAGAATCATATTTGGCGTCAGTATCAGCCTGTCTAGTCAAAACACTTCTTTAAGCTGTAAAATTAGACATTTCTTTGTGGGGAATAATGTGTTCTACCTCTCAAAAGCTGTTCCTGTTTGGTCAGCAGTCCATGGTACTTCTTCAGGGCTTTCTCATACTCCTTCTTCAGGTTCTGATTGTCTGGGTCATCGCCCCGTTTCAAAAAGTCAAGGACCTGGTCTATTAAACCCTTGTGTTCAGAGCAGTAATTAAAGGGCAACATTTTAATTAAAACATAACACCCATGCCCCCCAGACCCTTGGCATGACTTAACCTTTACCCTTTCTCTGACAGCCTGTCGCTCTTTCACCTATGACCCCTTCTACACTGAAAGGATATCGGCCTTCTTTTTCTTCAGCAGTTCGTCCTGCCATAGGTCATAGCGCTTCAGCTCATGCTCAATTATGCTCATGCACAGCACTCCGATCTTGTAGTGAGTGATCAGGCCATGGAACTGGGAGAAACTAGAGATAAAAAGCTTATTTGTCTAACCTTCACCATGTTTCCATCCATGCCAAAATAAAGCCTCAACCCATGTCAAGCACGCTCGCTCACCGAGAGTATGATGAATGTTAACCAAACCGTTGCAGACTTCAGCAGAATAACATCAGAAGGGCAGAGATTCAAGAATGATTCTAGCTTTCACATTTACCTACAGCCTCACTTTTCATATGAGTTCTGACAGCAGCTGATGTGTCGTATTATGATAGGAGTATTTACTGTAGTATTATGATTCTCATGTAAGAAAATATATTCTCCTCATGGCACATCACCATTGTTGTGTCTCAGTTCGAAGCACAACACCCATCAAACTGAAGAGCGAGTCTTGGCTAGAGCGTGCAGATGTGCAGCTCATTTACCTGGAGAAGCAGAAGAAGACGTAGATGATGGTGGTTGCCAAATCGACACTCTGCTTCCAGTCTTCCCTCAGGACCCGGGCCAGCGCGCCCAGAGCTGTTTCTGTGGGAGAGCACACAAAACACTAAATGCTTTCATTGCTCATGAAAAGAATTCACATTGTGAATACAAAGTGGCAACGGTTTGAAATATGTGACTGCTTGTGAATATGGAGGATATGTTATGATATGGGCGGATGGGAAAAGAAAGAAAAGAAAGAACACGCTTGCAAAGGAGAAAATGCATTGCGGGTAAAAATTAAACGACACAATTTTTATTTAGATGCTAATGGGCAAATATTTGGAGGAAAGTGGAAAACAGGCTGTAGTGCTACAAATATAGGGTCAAAGAGATTGAGCACATGAAAGAAAGCAGAAATAGAAGAAACTTCCTTTTTTGTGAATAGACCCTCATTGTCTGTTTTACTAATGCTTACTATTAGTGGCATTACATTTAGCATCCAGCATCCTTGCTGGATAAAAGTATTCTTTAAAAAAAAAACAATGTATCTTACTGACTGATTTTGAATGGTACACTGTAAATCAGTGTACCATTCAAATCAGAGACATTTCAGTGACATTTACGGTAAAATACCATAAAAAATATGGCAAAATGCATTGCGGGTAAAAATTAAACGACACAATTTTTATTTAGATGCTAATGGGCAAATATTTGGAGGAAAGTGGAAAACAGGCTGTAGTGCTACAAATATAGGGTCAAAGAGATTGAGCACATGAAAGAAAGCAGAAATAGAAGAAACTTCCTTTTTTGTGAATAGACCCTCATTGTCTGTTTTACTAATGCTTACTATTAGTGGCATTACATTTAGCATCCAGCATCCTTGCTGGATAAAAGTATTCTTTAAAAAAAAACAATGTATCTTACTGACTGATTTTGAATGGTACACTGTAAATCAGTGTACCATTCAAATCAGAGACATTTCAGTGACATTTACGGTAAAATACCATAAAAAATATGGTAGCAACATTTTAGGTTTTACTGACTTAACTTAAATTCATAATAAAACAACATATTTCATCAACTGTTGTAATATTAACATACCAACCTACTGAAGTACTAATATCTGTTTTTATCCATTGTAATACACCAATAACCACTAAACACAGATGGTGATGAGAAAATCACATGATGAAAGCTCATCACAAACAGCTTTTCCACAAGCAGAGGAGGGATATACTGACATATAAAAGGTGCACAGTGTCATTCACACAAACACATGGTAACACATCCATGATACTGAAATATAATGCAATAAACATTCATTTAACAACATTACGTACATTCACACGGGGCATCTGAGTTGACGCTTGATGGAAGTCGTTTCTGAAGACCGTCATAGTGACAACAGCCAATCACATTAGTTTTTTGGTGTTGCATGAGCGCCATTGGCTAGCGTCTGCACCAGGGTATTTGCATAAGGCAATCTGATTGGCTGACGTCTGAGTTGGCGCTTGAAAAGTTGAAAAGTTTTCAACTTCTGCGAGAAGGGTATAACTGCAGCCTGGAGATCTCCAAATGGGGGCGGGAACTCCAAAACGGGGTGGAAGCTCCAAAATAGGGCGTGGCTTCCTCCCATTGACAGACAGGCACATGACACGCATGCGCACTTTTTCCCCCAATCCACTTCAGTGCAAACTCCACCCCACAGCTGATTCTAAAGATTTTATTGGTTGTGTCAATTAAAGTGTTGATTTCCTACACTATGCTACAAAAAATGCTAACCCCTAAACCTACCCCACACCTGACCCTAACCTTAACCAGTGAAATTGACTGCACGGCGGGATTGGCGCTGAATAACGTGGTAAAGAAAGTTGCAAAGTTGCGATATGAGTTCGTTCCGTAACTCCCCAACCGGACCTCACCGGACAATGGCACCTTATTAGTTACACCCAGCATCACTACCCCCTCCTACCCTATGAATTTCGAGCCACGGGACACCCCCGCTGCTTAGAACAAAGCGATAGAGTGAAATAATAATAAGTAAAATCTTTCCCCTGCGCTGAGCTGGGACGGCTGGCGTGAGAGCTCGTGGGTGATTCCTGTTTATATCATTAAGCAGATGTTCAAACTCCAGTCCGAACAGCACTGGCCACGAGCTTTGGGCTCTGCTCTCACGGAGAATATTTACTTATATAGTATATTTTATTTTAGATTAACTAGAAACAATGTTTAATTTATAACGTTTTAATTTGAAATGTAAGTCAATAACAATTGGCTCGAGCCAGAGCCAATGGTGAAAGTCTTTGCGAGAGGAGACCCCGCCCCATTTTGGAGGTTCTGCCCACTTTTGGAGTTCACGCCCCATTTTGGAGATCTCCGGTCTGCAGTTATATCTACTTGGCTTCTGCTACGAGCAACAGACCCAACGCAACGCGATGGACCAACAATTCATTTCGGCAACGCTTGACTTTACTCCATTCAAAGTAAACGAGAGCCGCTGATGCCGACGCCCCGTGTGAATGGGGCGTTAGATGTAAGATAAAACCCTAATGTAACTGATAAGAAAAAAACTAAAAAGAAACAGTTATTTCAATGAAAAAAACATTAAATATGAAGTGTCATGCAAGGAATTCTGAGAATGTCAATTTATGTTTTTTCACTGTAAATTATACGATGACTTTTTATTTTTCACTTTTTTTTTCTTCGTATATAGCATGGAAACTTACTGTTAAGCAATGAACAGGTTTTTACTGTAGCACAATTTTTTTTACAGTGTAGGGTACAAGTCTTTGAGCTAATATGACAAGCCCTTTTTCATAAGGGAAAGTGCAGAGGTTGAAAACATTTGGGCATAGAGATCCTTTTGTTATGAAGGAATGAATGAGGTACGTAAAATAATGGAATGAGAATGACTGCGAAGAGAGGATCATAATGTCCTAAATATGGCATCCTATAAAAGTGGTCGATATTTCACCCAAAAATTAAAAATTTGTCATCATTTACTCAACCTCAGTTTGTTCCAAACTTGTATGACTTACTTTCTTGCTTTCAAACCCAAAAGAAAATATTTTGTAAAAGGTCAGGGTCCAACATTGGAGCCCACTGACCGTCATCGCACAGAAAAAGAAAGAAAAAAAAAACATTTTTCAAAATACCTTCTTTTGTGTTCAACAGAGGAAAATAAGTCATACAGGTTTGGAAAGACATGAGGGTGTGTAAATGATGACAGAATTTTAATTTTTTGGGGTGAACTATGCTTTTAATCATACAGTCTTACATGAGAGCAAATCCAAGCTTTTTTATATTGTAGTGTAAATGTAGTTGAAAACTAAAAATAAAATCCTAAACTGTTTAAAAATGATTCATTCTAGCCATGAGCTCCAGTTCGTGACGCACCGTTCTGCAGCAACTCCTCTAGGTTGTCAGGGTTACGGGCCAAATGGAGGATGAGCGTAGCTCCTCTGATCTTCTCAGGGATGTCCTCATACAAGAGCTCAATATAGTCATCTATGCTATTAATATTGGCCTCCTCATCAAGCTACAGGTCACAAGATAAAGCATTAAGTGAGTTAAAAATATTTTTATACATTTTGGTTGAGGACTCAGTGGAAAACTATCATATATCATATGTGACACAAAAACAATTAAACAAATGCATATTCATTTCAGCTATACCTCCATGCCTTCAAAAGGAGTCAGGTCTCTTGGCTTGATCTGTTTCTTCTCTTTCTTTTCTGAGTAAACAAAACATAAACAATCACTAAAGCACTGAAGAATTATTTATAATATTATTACCCCATTCTTCTTCGCATACCAGCAGATTTCTTGCGGTTCTGCAGGTAGAACAATAACTGTTCCACCTCAGGAAGTCTGGAAGGGGAAATGAGTCTACACTCCTCCACTACCTTCCGTGCCAAAGACGCAATGTCCGTGTTGGAATTCAGGCTTTTCAGACGGATTCTGCAATCGGAGGAAAATTTTAGCTCTAAAAATCTACCACACAACCAATTTGCCAACTATTCCATTTATTTAAATGATCTTACATCTTCTGGCACTCCTTGCGCTCTCCTAGCATTGGGTCTCCCATCTCCCCCAGGATCGTAGCTTCCACTTCATACTGGACAACAAGGGCTTTTTCTGTGGGGTGGACATCTAAACTGCCACCCTTATATTTCCTGAAGGCAAAACATTACAGATTATTATTGTCTTTTATTATTTTTTAATTATTACATTTTTCCTATGATGGTCGATTCATAAGGCTTATCATAAAAATAAAAGTGATGCTTTATTGGTAAAACAATCGTGTTTTGTTATTGTTTTTTCTCAGACATTTTCCCTGATAGTACCATGTTATCCTTCAAAGCACCTTAATATATAAAAATGTCATGGTAAATTAATAATGTAAACATTAAGTACCATTATAAACATAGCATTCGTACAAATACATTTTATTCATTTAATAACTCTATTGATTATGATGAAGATGATGATAATGATTATGACCATATAAACGTCACCTTCAGACACATAAATATAAACTGATGCCAAAATTGGAAAGAAAAGCCAGAATATTTTGAAAGTTGTACACATACAGCAAAAATCAATATCTTACACCTTAGAAAACAACATTTACAGGCATATATAGTGTTTTTATGCAGTGTAAAGCTCAAGCTCGATCACTAACGTGCTCGCTCGCATTACACAAACACTCACCGTTTTAAATATCTGGCGTCGTCCGATTGCATTGTTGCTCATAAATCAAGGCAAATAAACATGTACGGTTGATTTCTGTCAGATGTTTTGACGTGTGTCTAATTTCTCGACTGCTTCATCGTTTCTGCTCTGACAGGATGCTGATGTTTGTGTTGCTATGGGTGTGTACTGACATTTCGTGAAAGAGCGAGGAAGTAGAGCTAGGCGTAAGAATCTCTAGCGCCACCTGTACATGTGGAGGTATGTACCGCTCACTTGGAATACATGTGCTGGCTTGACTGTTGTTGAATTTGATTTGTAAACTAGCTATTGATTTAGCCTCTAAACCCTAAAACCAGATTAGATTGTAAAAATTATTGCTGTCAGAACAAGAATACAGACTGTAAGAATACAGAATACTTTTTAACCACCAATACAGTTTTTATGCAGTTGTTGGACTAACAAATGTCTTGCTAGAAAAAAAAGTAAGTTAAGTACACAATTAAATGTTTAATTCATTACACTTTATAGCCTATATTTGCATCTGTAGATTTCAATTACAGGCCATTTTCTCAAAATGAGTTTTTTTCTCATGTGCTGAGCGAGACATCTTTACTTCAATAGCACTTGCATACACCAAACATTGTTGTTTTATTATTCTTAAGTTTTTTACAGAGGGATTTGTTCATAATATATCATTTGATTGATTTATATAACCTTTTATTCCTAAAAACATAGTGAAAATTGTATTTCTGACTGTCTGCGGTATTTATGGGGTGGTAAAAAAAGATATCCAAGGAAAATCCAAGACATTTAACTGTAATTTGTAAACAAAATTGAACTAATTTATGTTCTGGAAATGTATGCAAATGAGTGCATTTTTAATTAAATAACGGCTAATTTACATATTTAGACATAACATTTCAGAAAACTTGTGGGCTAATACAAAATTTTTTTTTATTGTACTGTGATGAATCAGCTGGGGAAGTATGGTAATACCTTTTAGATTTATTAAGACCTCAAACAAAATGTGACAATGTTTGCAACATTTAAATATGGCTTTTTTGGACCAACTTTGTAAGACGTGCATTATTTATAAACAGTCTTCTCTAATTGCACTGAGCATGCTTTTCCAATTTAAGCACTGGTTCAGTTTTGGTTCACTGAATATCACATACACCAAGGTGATGATCATTTGGCAATTTATCCAAATTTCAAACTGCAGTCATATGAATAACACATGGCCCATGAGCTGACATGACTAAAAATGATATCTTTCTCTCTCGCTCTCCCTCTCTCTCTCTCTGTATTTTCACACAGTTTGAAAGAGTAACTCTAAAAACATTTCATTTTGGTGAATTGCATTTTTCTTATTGTAACATATTGCTGCAGTGTCAGTGCATGCAAACAGTAAGTAGCACCACATGTTCAGATTAGATCTGTCTTTGAACTTTCCTCACCACCGTGAACTTGCCACCAATACCGTGTATACAAACATGAGAAGGCAGTGCTAAGAATAGCCACTACATAAGCCGCTTGTCGCTAGCTGTGAATGAATGCATGACTCTCTGGTTCATGTGTTGGTATGCACTGATATGCCATCCTGTGTCTGTGGAACATAGGAGAAGGAGCTTCTTCTGGAAATGGAGAAGAAGGCACCACCCCTCTTCTGAGGTAATCTTACCCATCCCTTTCTCATTCCTCCACCCCAGGCCTAAAGCAGGTTATCTGATAAGATGTGGGAGTTTTGAGCACTCTGCTGAGAAAAGAACGCTCAACCGGTCAGTAACCAGAGGCCTCCTACAGATATAGCAGCACCGTGGTGTCTTTAGCATTTCTTCTAGAGACACCTTGAGCTACACATTATCACCTACGCTTTGAGTCACTTTGCAGAAGATTCAGAATGTCTGATTCCACCTCCATTATGGAGTTTAGCGGGACGCATCAAGCTTTCCGAGACCGCTGGGCAAAGACAGATGATGAGATGTGCAAGCACAGTATGTCTTTCCACTTGCACAATACGCTGAGGAAGGAGTTCTTCGCCAGTTACCTGTACCTGCTGGAACAGATTCCTCTGGGTAAGATGTGGGTGGCACAGTGAATTGTATGAATTATGACCTTTTGAAGATTACTGACATTCACTTGTTGTGATGAGAACAAGAAGTATGGAGTCGTAGAGTTGGAGTATGAAGTGCCAGAGTTGTCAGCATTTGGCCTGCGACCATTAGTATTCATGTTATTAGCATATCTTTCCCTAAAGCTTTTTCAAAATGATATCTGAAAATACTTTTGAACAACTATGCCTAAACCATAATATCCAATAGGAAAAATGAATTTTCACTGTACAGTATACATACTATTAATTTAAGCAATCAATGTTATTTTAAGCATAATTGCATAACCATGTATATGCATGCTGCATATTTTACATTCCACTGAATAATAAAACATCAGCTGTGGCTTTATGTTGGTGTATTAGCAGCAATAGCAGCTGATTTCAAAGTATTGGAAGGCTTTGGAAATTGTGGTTGAGTGTTGGTGAAACATTGAGAAAACGTTAAAAAAACTTAACAAACTAATGATTTCTTTACTTTTGAACAACTATGCCTAAACCATAATATCCAATAGGAAAAATGAATTTTCACTGTACAGTATACATACTATTAATTTAAGCAATCAATGTTATTTTAAGCATAATTGCATAACCATGTATATGCATGCTGCATATTTTACATTCCACTGAATAATAAAACATCAGCTGTGGCTTTATGTTGGTGTATTAGCAGCAATAGCAGCTGATTTCAAAGTATTGGAAGGCTTTGGAAATTGTGGTTGAGTGTTGGTGAAACATTGAGAAAACGTTAAAAAAACTTAAACCTGAGACGATTTCTTTCAACAGACACAATCACACCCATTTGCATTGTTACTGATGAGTTTGGTATGGCATTAAAAATAAGAAAGCACAAAGAACAACACATTTTACCCTTGGCCTTTACTCAGGTAAAAAATCTTCATCAAATATACTTGATAGTTGGTCCCTTACAAAACAAAAATATATGGTGATATACTGCAATATATAATGCGATATATTACATAATACATTTCCATATATTGGAAACTATAGTGCTTATATTTTTCAATATACAGCAATATATGCATTGACAATATATAGCTATATATTGATACATACAAATATATTTAGAAATGAAGACAAAAATAAATATTCATTTTTTGATCCTTTTTTGAGTATGTATTGCACATTGATGCTCCCATATAAATGTGAATGTATGTACGTACATATATTCACACATTCACACAATGAGTTAAAGCAGATCTCTAGTTCCCAGCATGCTTTGCTTCTGACTGTTAAAGGAGAATAAAAATGTTAAAATTAAGTGTTATTTCATGTGTTTTTGCTCAATATTAATATAGGGGCATATCTGTTAGTGTTTAAAGTTGTATTATTTTTAAATGTAAAGGGGTTACTGGTATGTGTAAGTTTGTGGGGTAACCACTTCGCAGAAGAGTAGAGCCTGTGGTTAGGAAGTCGATTGGCCATTTATTGGTAAATTACAATACCTTAATGAAAAAAGTAATGATAGTGCACTTTTCAGCACATTGCTACTCTGCTCTTTACGTGCTAAATTATGAATAGGTGTGCTTATGTTAATATAAACTGGCTATAAGTTAAAATATGAAAGTGCATATAATAAATGATTGTTAAGTCTGAGAAATATACTTTTCCATATATGTATGTGTGTATATACTGCATTAATATGTTCAATATATTTTTACACATGCAGTACCATATCTGATCACATGTACGTACATCTACTGTATGTATTATAATGTGTATTACTGAATATAAAATTACATATATTGTGATATATAAGTAAATATATTGTCACATATTTTTCAATATATGAAAAATAGCAATTATTTATGTATTATTCAATATATTGTAATATACTTACACAATATATTATTCTGTATAATGTCTAATATACCATTATGTCGTTTAATATATTGATCATTCATATATTAGGAAATATATTTTCTTTGCATAAGGGGTTTTAAATTATATTTACAGGAATAATGCATAATGCAACATATTGGAAAGAGTTTTTATTAAATTTAGAAACTGTGAACTATACTCTAAAAAAGTAACCCTATAAAACATCTTCCAGGTAACTAAAAGCGAGCAACAGCACTTGCTATTATAATGCAAAAATAAGCCTATATAATGTATGGAGTTTGTGGGAAGAGTAAAACACATAAAATTGCAAAACATTTACCCCATCAGCACGATGGAAACTGGAAATGCCTCGCAAATTACAGCAAAGTTTTGTTAGTGTCAGTGAAACTCGACTCAATGAATTACAATAAAATTAAGCATTAGCAGCAAAAATATTTTTAATGCATCATACATGACATCAACTGTGTTTAAGACCAAAAGGGAAGACAATCATTTATATTTTTTGGAGGACTGAAATGAACCCATCAGTGTTTTGTGCTTAGCTTAAAGTGATATTTCACTCAAAAATTAAAATTCTGTCATCATTTACTCACCCTCATGCCATTCCAAAACTTTGACGTTCTTCCTTCTGTGGAACACAAGAGAAGATATTTTAAAGAAACCAGATCTTTGATCTCCATTGTATGGGAAAAAGCACTGATACATTTCTCAAAATATATTTTATGTTTCACAGAAAAAGTTTGGAATGACTTGAGGGTGAGTAAATTAATTTTTCTCTTTCACAGAAAAATGAGTATTAATGTCTGTTTTGGCTGAAATGTTTCCTAATGTTAGCATGTTGTTTTAATGTTTCCTCATGACCAATAAGGTGTTAAGCTATAAAGAGGGCCATCAAAAATATACAGGTCCAAAATAAAATAGTCCATAGGGAATTACTACCCAGTGTTACTATTTTTGACTTTGGACGAGTAAACTTGTGGTTCGCATGTCAAAGCCTGCTCACAATTTCAGTATCACAATCCACTCGCCCTGCCAGTTCTCTCACCTGTAGCCCTTCAGCAAGGTCTTCCCACTAATCATCTGGTGATCTGATGTTTGACTTTCCAAGCAACAGTATCTTGATGCTTCAATCCCATTTGCAGAAAGAAAAAATCTTGGAAATTCAGATATGTTACTCCATAAACAGATGCTATTAATAACTGGTACCTTTCAAAAAACTACTTATGACTAAATGTTGTTGTGAATAGTGAATGAGAAGATACGATTGCATTGAAACTTCATCTCATAACTGTACACTTTCCATTGAGATGCTTTGATCCCTACATGCTTTTGATAACTACAACACAATAGATTTTTAGCAATTAAATGAATGGCTTATTTTTCCTCTGTAGTCTGTGAATAATTCAAAATACTCACAAAAACCTGAAAACTGTTGTGCTTTTTCTTTTACTGTCTATATTTTTATTGCCCTACAGTGAAACTCTATGCCGTGACTTGTGAGTACATTAAAGGCGAGAAGCAGTTTTACTACAGGGCACAGAACTTCTACAAGGATGTCCCGGCATCAGAGGAGGGCATGATGGGAGATTTTGTGGAGATATCGGAGATTGACCTTGAAGGCTCAAGACAGTTCCTGAAGAAGTTTGTTGTATGAAATTTTACCCTTCTCTTTCTTACTGAATGCTTAAACTAACTAAAACAAAGATTATTGGAGTACGTTTTACAAGAAAATACTATTTCAGTCTTTCTACTTCAGAATGTCATGTTTATTTCAATGTAATTATTTGAGAAATTTAGTAACAATTTCTGAGTGATAATTGTTTCTAAATCAAGTTTTTTCATACATTTGTTTTCATACATCAGTTAAAAAGAGTACATTATATATGTACTGTACATAATATCCTATTTATAAATATCGGATACAGCCTATAACAGCAGACAATAATTTTCAATTGCATATTGCCTTTTCAGTCTGCTCATACATACTTTTAGATAGCAAGATCTCAAGATCAGAATGACCAAGCTCTACACGTCTCTATTACGCTATTTGAACATGTGGTTAATTAACCCATCCAAGCTGACAAATAGCATTAGCTTCATGAATAGTGTTCAGCTGTTCTGCTGAAATTTTGACCATGAACCTGGACTAGCGCTCATAATTCTTAATTTTTTTTGAACATCAAAAAAAGTGGAAAACAATTAGATGGATCATTTATTATGCATCTTATTTTTATTTATGATCCTGATAGGGTCCAGGGAAGGCTGGCACCAAGCGAGCACTAGACTGTGGCTGTGGAATTGGGAGGGTGTCTAAAGGAGTTCTGTTTCCTGTGTTTGAATCCATGGAGATGCTTGACATGATGGAAGAGTTCATCCTCCAAGCTCATGAGTGTTACCTCGGAGATTACGCAGACCAAGTGGAAGCCTACTACCTTTACAATCTGCAGGAATTCATCCCACCTACAAAGAGATACGATGCCATCTGGCTTCAGTGGGTTGCCTGTGAGTGAATTGATTGTTTTCATGGATTATTTTATCTTATGGAAGATGTATTTTACAGTAATGTTTTGTCTGCATTTACTACTTTAATTTGAGCTTTGTTTTCTGCCCACCTACTTTTGCTTATTTTAGTAGGTCCAGGCTATCTTTGCCCATTTGCTGTAATGAGAGCAGCTGAATGCTAGTCAAAGTCTTTTGTTTCAGTATACAGTTTCATCTCCCTCACTGCAGTCTGTGTACATTTGACTCAGAGATATCTATATGAAACTGCTTAAAACCATATAATGATAATACATGAATTCCAGGTGGTGAAAGTTTTTTTTAAGACCTAACCAAAGTGACCAACAACAAGTAGTTATATATAGTATCTGCTAAATGTCTTTTGGACTGTGGACATTTGAAATATACACACTCTCTTTTTGTCAAGGATTCACAAACCATTTTAAATTTCTCAGGTCATCTTACTGATAAGGACCTGATGGAGTTTTTAATGCGTGCTAAGCAGAGCCTGAGGCCCAATGGTGTGATCATCATTAAGGATAACATGGCGCGGCAGGGCTGCAAGCTGGATCCCATTGACAGCAGCATCATCCGCCACCTGGACATCATGAAGAACATCATTCAGACAGCAGGCCTCACCATACTGGACGTGGAAAAGCAAGAAGGCTTTCCTGAGGCCATTGTGCCTGTATGGATGATCGCCATGTGCTGAAGGAAAGACTTGGGATAGAAGCAGATAATTTTTTTAGAGGAATGTGTTGTACATGCACTTATGTATAGTATATATTATAAATGCATAAAAAATTTTTTTTTTAAATTCCATTTACCAGCTAAAAACTGTAGTAATTTCAGTTTACAGAATCAGTGGATTTTTTTTCTTTCAAAATTCTTCAATTTTGTGATCTTTCCAGAAGCTTTTGCAGTTTTGAAAAGCAATGAAAGCAGGCTATTTTGTTTCTACTTCATATACGTGTAAGGTTAAGATCATGCAGAAGTGCAAACATGTTATTTTGGCTTTGACAGAAATCTGTGATGTAGATTTTTAAAAATATATAATTTTCATTTTTGTTGAAATGTAACAGATAGATGTATATAATTGTATCGCCCTTTTCAAAATATGTAGTATTTTGTACATTTACTGTAGTATCATAAAGAAAAATACTTTTTTTTTTTTACAAGAAAATAATGCTGTTGTCTATGTCTGATGTAACTGACAGAATTGTGTCTTTAACTATAGTAATTTTTTTTGTTATTTAGAGTAAAGAAATGTTAATCATTCTGAGTAATAAAAAAAACTGTATCAATGACATTTCTTGTATTACAACAATAAATCATAACAATAAAGAAATAAGTAATAGAACCACATTAGTGAACATTTTTCAGAGACATTGGTCCTGATCTCTCCCAAATGCTTTAAGTTTGAAGTATGTCCTTAAAACAACAAAGCTTTACAGGTAAAATGGGCAAAATAAAAAATAACTTTACAGTATAGAGGATCTTTGCTTGCTTACAATGTTGAAGATAATGAGCATTTGTTGGATATTTCCTTTAAGTATTCTTTGTGTCTCTGAAAGCAGATCTCTGCTTCACATATTTAAAGAACTGAAGGATAAATAATGTCAACAAGTTCAAAACTTCATTGTATTCCCCCAACCATGAAAAACCACACTGTTTAGGTAAATGGCTCTCAGATGGTGTCTTTGTAGAGGAAGGGAATTATCCCTGGTTTTGACAGACTACTCTTTTGTATCTGCCTTGAGCTCTGTCCAAATCTGTCAGAACGTGTCTGCATAAAGAGCATCAGCAAGTCACCTCAAATATTCAGCATATAAGCCTCACAAAGACGTCTTGAGCAGTGCAGTGTAAAAAATTCAAGCAGGTCCTTTTCCCTGTGAATAGGCGGTTTGTCAAGAAAAAAAGTGCAAACACTCACAGCACGCAATGCAGTCAGTCTGTTATGTTTTTGAGTGATCTATGCTGGTTCTTTACCAAGCAAATTCAATACATTTTTCAAAGTTCAAAACACCCTCAGGCTGCAGTCGTATTTCTTTCATAAATCTGTGTAAATAGCATCCAAATGTCTATTTGCCTATTCAGAAATGGTTACCGTACCTGGCAGTTTCTGCTATCAAGTTGAATCTTTCTCGTTTCCTTCGCAGGCAGTCTGGCAGCTAATGGTCTGTATTAACAGAAATAACATTAATAAATTTGGTCGTATTAGAGCTGAATTGGGTCAAACTCCAGGCACAGAGAGTCAAACATAACATTGACAGACAACTGGGAGTGTTGCACTGACACAATTAATTATCAACAAATGATTGTGTGCCTAGAGCTGGCAGTGGACAGCGACATCAAAATTCACATGTTGTTTATTTAACAACTATTTCTCATTTTTCAAAAAGATTAATGCTCATTTATGGTGTTTATGCAAGTTGCTTCAAATCTCATTTTAATCAAATTTATTAAGAATTTATGCCTTTCGTAACTAGACTTTAACCTTATAACTACAGGCTTGATACCAGTAAAATTGGTCCTCTGGGTTTTGAAATGTGATACCACGGATTGACAAGGCGTTGGGAAAAGAAAAATAAGAAAAAAATGCATTTAAATCTCAAAATATTCCCTTTAAATCATTATGAAGGATTGTGATGATTTGGGGCTGGTCTCTGCCAGGAGAGTGACAGAGTTACAACCATAAACATTCACAGCTTGTTGTCTGGTACCGGCTCTCAACCTTATTCTACATGTCAGCTCAAAGGCCAGAGCTCAGTTACACATACTTTTTATAGGCCATGCTGATATTCAATAGTTCATTCAGATACGCACTGCCCCTATCATGTACTGCTGATTACATTAATTTGATATCCAAACTGTTCAAACTTTGACAAATTACATCATATGACAAATTGATGGTTTTAAAGGGGTCATATGGTGTTGCTAAAAAGAACATTATTTTGTGTATTTGGTGTAATGAAATGTGTTTATGTGGTTTAAGGTTCAAAAAACACATTATTTTCCACATACTACATTATTGTTTCTCCTCTATGCCCCGCCTTTCTGAAAGAATATCTCTTTGGATTTGAGACTTTAGTCTTTGCAACTTTACAGATCTTCTTTATGCACCAAGAGCTTGTAACAATCTAAAGAGAAAGGAAAAATTGAAATCGCAACATATGACCCCTTTAAATGGAATATACTATTTTAAGTGTCAAAATGCCTTCTGGTATGACAATCTGCAGAGATAAGTAGGCCATAAGCCATTTGGAGATTCCCCCCAAAACTGTAAAAAAACACTGTTGCAGAGTTCCAAACGGGATAAATTTGCCTCCGAAGGGCACTTCGGAGTGAGAACAATCATAGCCACCATAATGAAGGTCTTTCCAAACCGAAGTGCTCAATGCCCACTTCAAAGGGCCCTTCGGAATGAAGGATTTTGAAGGGTACAACTGATAAACACTTTCGATCCCATGATTCTATGCGCAGGTTTAATTTGTGAAGCAAATGACACAGAAATGCATTCCAAGGAACAGTTTTCAGTCTCCTACACCCTCCAGAATGGAACGTAGTCTGTCTCTGTCAAAGCTTGCAACATTGGCTTAACCAATGTCGTACATTAGGGGCGGAGCTAACAGGTAGGGTGACCAATGGGGAATATGATGATAAATCTGATTAAAATATGAATTGCTAAACAGGGTTGGTATTCCAAACAGAGAGCCGTGGTTATTTTAGCACATTTAGTAATTTATTTTCGTACTGTGCTCATATTATTCCACTGACAGTCATTGTAAATAATTTTTATAAAGATTTCTAAATCTAACATTCCCATCATAGTGAGTAGAAAGAAGATACACCATATACCTTAGTCAGGTTAAAGACTATATTGTGTTAAATTTGGGTAAATATACTATATATAGAATCTCATAACTTTCATAACAGATTTATGTAGATTTTGTCTATTAAACACTTATTTGGAAAGACGTATCGGTATATTGTCAAACAACAGTACAATCCATTAATCACTCACTCCCTCACAGCCTCGTTTTTATTCCTGTCAAAAATTAAATATGACCATACTCTGACTAGATATATTCAAAGAGAATATTTTCCATATTTGAGGGTCCTGGGTATCAGAAAACCTCTATAAACATATATAAACTTTTTGAGTGAGTTGATGAAAGGCTAATAATTAATTAAATCATAAAAATATAAAATAATACATTAACAAACTAAAACAACTAATTAAAAAATATGAATGAAATGAAAATAATAATTACATTTAAAATAATAATTAAATTCTGAGGATATAGGTAAATATTTTAGGTTAAGGTTAGGTTCAGCTGATAAAAAAAAGGTTGGGAATCCCTGCTGTAGATCATCAGGATTTGAAATGGATGTTCATATCACCATAGTACTTCAGAATTGTTTGGTTCCTAAACGCGGTCAGACTGGTACTACTGAGGAGAATGCATTTAGCCACAATCACCTTAAAATGTCAGCCGCAAACCACGGCTGCCTCATCAATGATCATGTGACCCTGTTTGGCCTGGCCTGATGTGGTTGATTGGTCGCTGAGGTCAGACATTTGTCCTTGTGACTGGATTGGGCTTTTACAGTGTGGGGGATAAAAATTGACCACACTGGCACAAACAGTAAACATGGTTGCCTGTTTTCCTAATTAGAGCTCCCTTAGCTACTAGCCTGACTAGCAACATGTGTTAGTTCTGCCACAACTAAGCCAGAAGCTTGTTTTCTATGCTATATCATAGTTTAAGTGAGAGGGAAACATTACTACTTCACTACTTTGCAGGGGTCTTCCAGCTAAATTAGATGACAAAGCAAGGAAGGAAATTATATGTGCAAGCCTATTAACTAACTCAAGCTAATTAGCTACAGCTAGCACCTAATTTATTGACGTTGTACAAAGTTTAATTGTAAACCCACCCAATTAGATTCAAAGGAGTGGGTAACAACACAATCCGTCTCTTGCAATCTGTTGGTTTTGCTGTTTGTGAAAAACTTGTTTAATCACCTTGTAGGCATTTTCTTTTCCTCTCAGGCTTTGGAAGAATCATTGCTCATGCTGGTTTCAATTCGCTAACCTTTCAGATTACACAATAATGAGCCAAAATAACTCTCACATGCACACAGAGTCTGCCTGAACTTTTTTCCACCAAGGCTCATGATTCACTATTGGTTTCCACAGCAAGAGTGCATGGGGATGTTTTTGTTGTTGAGAACAGTCTCTTCCTTTTCAGATTGTTTTGTGGTGAACTACATTGTATCGCAGCTTGGCTCGTGAGAACAGATCACCAGGAGAGAAAATAAATAAGAGGGTAAAATATAGAGAAAGCCCGAGAGAGCCATTAAATCTAACGGGCCCAAAAAAGAGTGGACGTAGCGGCAGGTATTTCCTGCTTCTTGATCTTCTGGAGCTGAGCTCATTTTTCCCCAATGGGGGTTCAGGATTGGTTTGTATAATAACTTGTGGGATAATGCCAACAGTCTATTATTCATTTTTCTTTGGGAGGAAAACAGTTTAGAGAAAAAGAAAAAAATAAATCATATGGCTGGAAATACAGCTGGTGATCTGTGTATCATCTTGATTGCAAAATGTTTATCATGGAAATTATTTTTGGATGTACACATTTAAATTCAATTTTACTTTACTGGTTAAGAAATTCCTGTGATCTTTATGGATATGCTTAAATTTGC